TATTGTGAAGGAAGGAGTCCGGCAATGGGTCCTGTGAGAGGTAATGGTGGGAGACCATTACTACCAATGGATGTCGAAGAGGAAGTTCTTCAGGAGGTTAGAGGAGACCCTGCCAGACGAACGGGCATTAGCAGGTCTACGGTCCACAATATTTTGAAACGTCATAAGATGCACCCTTACCATGTTCAGCGAGTGCAAGCCCTGTTACCTACGGACTATGTGCAAAGGGTTGAATTTTGCAGGCAAATGCTTAGAAAAATGGAAAGAGATCCGAATTTTTTCGACAAAATTTTATGGCCGGATGAATCTTCATACCATAAAGACGGGTACATGAACATGCACAACCTGCATCAATGGGCGCTTGAAAATCCACATGCAATAAGAGAAAATCGTTCGCAGACACAATTTAAAATTAATCTGTGGACGGGAATAATAAATGGTCAAATTATTGGACCCCACGTACTACCAGCTACGCTAAATGGTGGAATTTATTTAGATTTTCTGGAAAATCATTTGTATCAGCTTTTAGAAGATGTTTCATTAGAAACGAGGCAGGCCATGTGGTTACAAAACGATGGATGTCCAGCTCATTACGCTGCTCAAGTACGGCGACATTTGGACGGACGATATCCGCAACGATGGATTGGATGCTTGGGTCCCATTTTATGGCCACCTAGATCCCCGGATTTAAATCCTTTAGACTATTTTTATTGGGGCTCCTTCAAAGATTTGGTGTATAGAACCACAATTACCACCATCGAACAACTGCGGGAGCACATCAGTTCAGCCGCCGAACAAATAAAAAATTAGAATTATGCACACCGAATTAAAAGATCATTTATTAAGAAATGTAGGATGTGTATTAGGGTAGAAGGCCGACATTTTGAACATCTTTTATAATAAATAATAAAATAATACAAAAACACATTATGTTGTTGTTATTTGTTCCATATAACTAAAAAAAGTTAAACCTTTGTTATTTGAATTTTTCCCGAAGACTTTTAAACCAGAATCCTTTTAGATTCAAATCGAAAGCAGAAAGACTTAAAGGTTATAATTTTTATATCGTTTTGGAATTACCATTAAACATGTAAGTTTTTAAGATTATTTTCACAACTTGTGTAGTAGAAATTTTTTTCACCACGTGTCGTCAAATGAAGTTATTGAAGTTAATTTTTAAACATTTTAAACGCAATTACTGAAAAATTGTTATACTCTATCGATAGCGGAATAAGTTTAGATAAAAATAAAAAAGATGCAACTTCAAAAAGTTTTTATTTGTAGAAACGGCATGGAAAAAATCGACCTAAGGTACAGATTTTTCAAAAATATAAAAAAGTCAAAAAATTTCGAAAACCATGACACTTTTTATAAGTTTTTATCTTTTTATTTGGTAGACCATAATGTCGCGCACTGGTGGTTAAAGGGTTATCCATGACTTCCTGGACACCCTGTATTTATAAATGGGGGAAAGTTGGGCCGCCTGCTATGTTCAGCCCAAACAATTTTTTAATATTTTTTTTTTATTTTATACCAAATTGGTTATTTCCAAAACAAAAGTTTTCTCATTTTTAAATCACGTTATTCAGGTTTGAATTTTTGTAAATGGGAAATTAAAAAAGAAATATACAAAACCTTGGGGGCCTACTTGAAATTGCTGGGCGGAATACATAGCAGATTGCCCCAACTATCACTAGTTCAAGTATGTTCAAACCAGGGTTGCGTGATTTTGATTTAGTCAAATCACAAATCCATAAATCAAATTTATTTCTGAATTGAAAGTCGCATCAAATCCTAAATAAATTTTATTTGTGATTTGCTTGGTCAAGCAAATAAAAGATAAGTTTTATTTGTGATTTGCTTGGTCAAGCAAATAAAAGATAAATTTTATTTGTGATTTGATTCGTCAAGCAAATAAGAAATAAAATATATTTGTGATTTGCTTGGTCAACCAAATAAGGAATCAAATTTATTTGTGATTTGATTCGTCGACCAAATAAGAAATAAAATTTATTTGTGATTTGAATCGCCTCCAAATCAATCAATTGGATTCGTGATTTTTTAGCGAAATATTACTTTTTTATGCAACACAAATGCGATATTCAAGTATCTTCCAACTTCGAGTTACACGAAAATCTTCGGGACTTCTTCGAGATTTTCGGGGTTCTTTCGACTACTTGATGATTTTTGGGACTAATTCGGAGTTTTTGGAACTCGTTCGGGTTTTTCGAGACTTCTTAAGGTTTTTCAGGATTTTGGGACTAATTCGGTATTGCTGGAGCTATTTCGGGTTTTTCGAAGCTACTTCGAGATTTTCGGGGCTATCCCGGGTTTTTCGGGACTACTTCGAGATTTTCGGGGTCCTTGGGACTATATCGGGATCTTCGTGACTACTTCGGTGTTTTTGGGACCAATTAAGAATTTTCGGGACTATATCAGGAATTTTGGGAGTATTTTGGTATTCTTGGGATAACTTCGAGATTATCGGGGTTCTCGCGAATGTATCGGGATCTTCGGGATTACTTCGGGGTTTTTGGGATAAATTCGGAGTTTTTGTGACTTTTTCGGGTTTTTCGAGACTCCTTCTTAATTTTCAGGATTTTGGGACTAATTCGGTATTTTTGGGGCTATTTCTGCATTTAGGAGATTTTCTCGGGATTCTCGAGACTATTCCGGGTTTTTCGAAAATACTTCAGAGATTTTCAGGAGTCTCGGTACGACATCGGGATCTTCGGGACTGCTTTGGGACTATTTCGGGTTGTCGACACTACTTGGAGATTTTAAGGATTTTTGGGACTATTTCGGAATTTTTGGGACTATTTCGGGGTTGCTGGATTATTTCGAGATTTCTTCGGGATTTAAGGACTATTCCGAAGTATTCGAGACTACTTGGAGATTTTAAGGATTTTTGGGACTATTTCGGAATTTTTGGGACTATTTCGGAATTTTTGGGACTATTTCGGAATTTTTGGGACTATTTCGGAATTTTTGGGACTATTTCGGAATTTTTGGGACTATTTCGGGGTTGCTGGATTATTTCGAGATTTCTTCGGGATTTTCGACTATTCCGGGTTTTTCGAGGCTATCGGGACTATATCGGGATGTTTGGGACTACCTCGGTATTTTTTGGACCAATTAGGAATTTTGGGGACTATTTCGGGTTTTTCGAGGCTACTTCCGAGGGTTTCGGGGTTCTCGGGAATATATCGAGATTTTTGGGACTATTTCGGGTTTTTCGAGATTTTTGGGGTTTTCGTGAATATCGGGATCTTCGGGACTACTTCGAGGTTTTTGGGCTGATTTGGGAATTTTTGGAACTATTTCGGGTTTTTCAAGATTTTCAGGATTTCTCGGACTATTTCGGAATTTTTGGGACAACTTCGATATTTTCGGTGTTCTCGGGAATATATCGAGATTACGGGGCTATTTCGGGATTGTTGGAACCAGTTCGGAATTTTTGAAACAATTTCGGGTGTTAAGAGATTCTCGGGATTCTCGGCTCTAAATCGGGATCTGTGGGACTACCTCGGAATTTTTCGACTAGTCTCGAAAAACCCGAAATAGTCCCAAAAATTCTTAATTGGTCCCCAAAATACCGAAGTTGTCCCGAAGATCCCGATATAGTCCCGAAAACCCCGAAAATCTCCAAGTAGTCTCGAATACTTCGGAATAGTCCTTAAACCCCGAAGAAATATCGAAAATCCCGAAATAGTCCAAAAGTACCGAAATAGTCCCAAAATTCGCAATATATTCCCGAGAACATCGATAATCTCGAAGTAGTCTCAAAAAACCCGAAATAGTCCCAAAAAAAACAAATATATTCGCGAGAACACCGAAAATCTCGAAGTTGTCCCAAAACTTCCGAAATAGTCGCACAAATCCTGGAAATCTCGAAATAGTCTCGAAAAACCCGGAACAGTCCCGAAAATCCCGACGTAATCCCGAAGATCCCAATATAGTCCCGAGAACCCGTTAATCTCGAAGTAGTCTCGGAAAACCCAGAATAGTCCCGAAAATCCCGAAGAAATCTCGAAATAGTCCAAAAATCCCGAAATAATCCCGAAGATTTCGATATATTCTCGAGAATCCCAAAAAGTTAGTAGTTTCGAAAGCCCCCAAATAGTCCCAAAAATTCGGAATTGGTCACAAAAATTCCGAAGTAGTCCTTAAGATCCCGATAACCCCGAAAATCTCGAAGTAGTCTCGAAAAACCCGAAATAGCTCCAGCAATACCGAATTAGTCCCAAAATCCTTAAAAACCTGAAGAAGTCTCGAAAAACCCGAACGAGTTCCAAAAACTCCGACTTAGTCCCAAAAATCCCCAAGTAGTCCCAAGAACCCCGAAAATCTCGAAGTAGTCCCGAAAACCCCGAAGATTTTCGTGGAACTCGAAGTTGGAAGATACTTGAATATCGCATTTGTGTTGCATAAAAAAGTAATATTTCGCTAAAAAATCACGAATCCAATTGATTCGCTCTACAAATCAAATCACAAATCAATTCGATTTCTGATTTGGAAGCGATTCAAATCACAAATAAATTTTATTTCTTATTTGCTCGACGAATCAAACCACAAATAAATTTGATTCCTTATTTGGTTGGCCAAGCAATTCACAAATATATTTTATTTCTTATTTGAGTGACGAATCAAATCATAAATAAAACTTATCTTTTATTTGGATGACCAAGCAAACCACAAATAAAACTTATCTTTTATTTGCTTGACCAAGCAAATCACAAATAAAATGTGTTTCTTACTTGGTTGACAAATCAAATTACAAATAAATTTTATTTTTTATTTGGTCAACAAACCAAATCACAAATCAAATATATTTGTTAATTAAAGGCGGATTTTAAATCAAAAAGGAATTGAAATCACGCAAACCTGGTTCAAACGTCTACCAAACACCCTGTATTAACTAATATTACAGACAACAAATTGAAATAGAAATTACGAAATATTTTTTCACTCAACTCTGTCACTTTCAACAAAATCTGATGCGTTTTGAGTTGGTTCACGCAAAAGACTGATAACTTCTTCGGAAATGGCATCTGCTTTTCGAAGAGGGGGTCGTCTCATACTGGATATAACAGGATCAGATGTTATAATTTTCACAAATCTTCGTTAGATTCCTTCCTGGTAATTTTTCGAGTGTTATGCTCCCGATGCCATCTGAAGTCTTTGTTGCGAGCCTCCTGGGCTTCCCCAGAAAAATGGCCTACTGGCAAAGGCATACCAAAGGCAATACCAAATGTCATGAAAATTTAATAATTTTTTTAATTCTTGGACGCCATATTGGATACAGAAGAATGACAGATGTGTCCAATAAGGAAGGGCGTAATATTCGGTGACGATAACTTCCGATAACAGCCTTCGGAGTTGCCATGAATGCGAACCTCTAAATATCAAATTTCAAAAAAATTCAATAATTTACTTAAATCTCGGACGCCATATTGGATTTTGAATTTTGAATTTTCTAAAACTAGCTTGAAATTTGTAATAAGCGAACTTAAGAACCTCAAAATACCAAATTTCATGAAAATTCAGTAATTTTTTTTTTTTAATTCTTGGACGCCATATTGGATTCGTTATTTTCGGTTTTTGAAAATTTACTTCAGGTTTGTCAAGACACATTTTATAAATAATATGATGCTTAATATAGAAAAATTACATTTGGGGTATTCACAACGGTGTCGTAAGTGTCGTATTGTTGTATGTCGTAAACTTTAAACGCCTAAAAAGTATATTAAGGGGGTTCGCAAATTACCATCAAAGTCATATTATGAATTTTCGCAGTGCTAAAAAATAGTTGGTTGTGGTTTCAAGTTCTCTAAACATTTATTTAAGCTTTTAAAGTTTGCGACATGCAACAATATGACACTTACGACACCCTTGTGAATCCCTCGATTAATCCTTAGTGTTTTATATACCTTATGTTATTTGGAACAACTGCTAAAGTTGGTTTAGTGTAATAAAAGTGGCCGCCACTCTTTTTGGCGCAAGTATACGCGGCTATTCTTTTCATACATCCTTAAAGGACCCCTTGCATTACTTTTTGGTAAAGGAATGAAGATTCTACTCGGCCCTACGAATTAGTTATACCTTTTTGAAAAAAATATTTCTTGAACAATAATCCGTGTTATTAAGATATTCATAATTTAACAAGTAACACTAAACGAGCAATTACTGTTATAATATAAAGTTTCCATAAAAAAAAATTGTTAAGAAAGCTATCAACTCATAACTGTTAGAACAAGCCACGATCGAATTCGTTGAATTAAATGGATTAAACGGCTTGCTCAGCACACATTATTAAAAATACTAACCAGCTTTGAGTTCGCTGGACATTTCTGAATAAGAATGGCTTTACTCCAGTTAATTTATCACAGTTTGAAAATAGGCCTTTTTCGCGTAAAACATGTTTTATCCAACCACTGTGCGGTTTCGTAGTTGGCATTTGCGATCGAGCAGCACAGCAAGGGCCCTCATACTCCCTCGTCCAATCTCACGTGGTGCGCAGTGCGCAGTCCTGAACATGCCCTAAAGTGACACCGGATATGGCAATTGTTGCACTTGACTGATATCACGTTACAGAATATCCTGGACTGACACACCGTGCAGATTGTCGGAGGAACTACGAGTTGTTGGCGGCGGCGTCTGGATGGTGGTGCGGTTGTGTCCGTGGTGTGGTCTGTGGTGTTGTGCATTGTATTGTGTTGTGATGCGGTTGTGTTTGTGTTGCTCAGACGGACTCTGGTGTGCCGTGGAGGCAGCTCGATTTGAGCAGCAAGGGGCCACGTATGAGGTGGTCCACTGCCTGTGAGTCGTAAGGCTTGAGCAAACTCGGAGGTGGATTCACCCATTACATGAGTTGTGATGTAGTCGTCTCTGGCACACGCAACAGGTATAGGTTTCTGGTCCATGGTTTGACTCAATGCCAGCCCTGCGCAGAAGTATGCGAAGCAGATCTAGCCCTATGGACGTACAACTTTTGAAGGATTTGGTCGGGTAAAACCCGAGTCCCTCCGGTACGTAGAACCGGCTGTCGTGGGATTGAATATGAGCACATTTCTAAGGTGAAAGGGCACCGGTTATCAAGTCATAGCGTACTGCAGGTCCTGAGTAAATTATTGCACCTACCAAATCTCTGGAAATAATGTTAAATCTTAAACCTGTGGATCTCTACGGAAAATTGCGGGCTGTCTGGGCGCGGCCAGGTTAAATACGATCCAGCTGGGAGACCTCAGATTCGGACAAGCAAAAGTACTTGCAACTCTACCGGATAATATACGACTGTTAGATTATACCACTCCTCTACTCTCTTTAGACAACAAATTCTCCCCAAGAATCCCAGAGAGGAACGAATAAGGCCGGGGTCCACGGCCATATATACAGATGGTTCCAAGCTTAACAAAAGAGTTGGTAGCGGGATCCGCTCTGACGAACTCGCGCTAAGCCTCAGTTTTCGCTTACCGGAACATTTCAGCGTCTTTCAAGCAGAGCTAAACGGCATAATGGAGGCGGATCGGTGGCTAATAACCTCCGCCCCTCCGGGACGGTCTATCGCTATCTATTCTTACAGCCAGGTTGCTATCAAATCTCTTAAATCTACCGGAACAACGTCCAACGTAGCCATAGAATGCACGAAGACTCTCAGCCTGCTGGCATCAAAATGTTCCTTGATTGTCGTGTGGGTCTCTGGACACAGGAACATTCATGGCAACTGCCCAGCCGACGAGCTGGCAAGGAGGGCGATGGAAATATCTAAAGGCAATTCTGCTCAGAATGCGGACATACCTTTAACCTCCTTCAAAACCAGACTAAAGGAGGTAAATACCAGGTGGACTGTGGAAACCACCTGCCATACTACCAGGCAAATTTGGCCAAAGATTGGTGTAAGACGATCCATAGCTCTCACTCATCGTACACTGCCTTATGGGGCTACACGGAAAAAGGTTGGGATACCCCACCAACGATTTCTGTCGCAGTTGCAGAAACGAGGAAGAGCTGGGTAGCATCGAGCATTATCTCTTCCATTGTCCTGCCCTGGCCAACACGTGCAAGCAATTCTGAGTAAAAAGGTGAATATTTTTATGAAAATTTTTTGAATTTTTCTAAATTTGCGCCGAA